TCCTCTCAACCCCCCCCTCCGCATCTCTGGCCTGTACCCCAGTTCTGTATGAATAAATAAATAAATCTTAAAAAAAAAAAAACAACAGTATCCTCAAGGAACTTAAAGTAGAAGGGAAGGTAGTCATCTGTTAGATATTCACTGTATAGCATAGAAAGGCTGATTGATGTGCAATTATGTTTCATAGCTAGCACAGAGGGAGCAATCATCGCTGTATACAAGAAACAGAAAAAAGTCGAAAGGGGTTGGTTTTGGGGTAAAGGAGATAAAGGATAGACATTTCAGGCTATGCCCAGAGACAAGAGTCACAAAGGGGCTTGGCATCCTCAGCGTTCACTTTGGCTAGAGTGGCAGGCATGTGGCAGGGCTTGGTGTGGGGCTAGGGCATATAACTGAAAGGGTAGATGGAGGCTAGACTAGAGGAAGAGGATTTGTATCATGTACACCAAGCTGAATTTGGTCAATAGGGAGCCAACAGAAGTTTTGAAGAAAGAGGGCTACGTGATCAGTTTGTCTACATGATGGTATGAGAGAGAGTGTGTCAGAGGAGAATGGAGTTTGGGCGATTCGCAAGGAATCTTGTAAGTGCTGGGGACTTGAAAGAAAATGTTTTACTTGAAAATGTTTCATCAGTCAATCGAGGTGGCAAAGGGACTGCAAATGATTGGAAAAACATTTCCAAGTAGAATTGATAGAATTGGGAGGACAAGAAACTCCAAAGAGTTTTTGGCCTGGGAACACAGAAAAACAGGCTGGCGCCGCATTCTAGAACACTTAGGGTCAGCACATGTTTTGGGGCACACCCAGCCTTCCCCGGTACCACTGCTTCCTTTAAGTTTAAATTTGCCCGGGCTTCCCGGCTGGCAATGCACCTTCTCTTCCTCTCAGACCCTCCCCAACCTGAGGTGGAAAGACTGCTTCCTCCTTCAGACCTCCCCAAACTACACCTGGGTGATGCCTGCCACTTCATTGTCTGTCCTTCATAGCACTGAACACACGTAGCAGGCAGGACCTTTTTCCCAGCACAGTGTCTGTCAAGAAGAAATTGCTCACTAGGTGCTGACCTGAGGTGTGGAGGTCAGAGTCAAGTGTGCCAGGAAGGTGAGAGCTCTGGTGATGAATGATCCCATTGGTTGGGTTTGGGTCATGTGCCCAAGGAAGTA